TGCCCTGGCAGGGGGGTTGGACTTCCAGTTGCCTTTCAAAGCCTAGACCCCTGGGATCCTCTTCAGCCTCCTCCTCCACTCTTTTTCTGTTTTTTTTTCTTCTTTAAATTAGGTTGGGGGATATATTAAATTAGGTCAAAGGACGCAGGGTTCTCACCCCTGGCCTGCAGCCCAACCCTTCTTTTGCCTGTGACTGCGGTCTGCAAGAGAGGAAGTCACTGGGTGATGTTTCCCCCTTTGTGCCATGAGATCTTCAGCGTGGAAAGGGCATTACTGGTCACCTCGCCACCTGCCAGGTGGGCCACAAAGGACTAGCTGCCAGCAGATCCACAGGCTTCCCACTGCCAGTGGACCAAGCACCACCAGCTGCTTCATTCTGGGCAGTGACATGCCCAACCTGGGGTCCCTCAGAGGCGCCTTGAGTTTCGACTCTCAAGAGCAAAGGACTGTGGAAGTGGGAGCCATTAGATTGTCCTTCAGTTTCGGTTTGGTCTAGTGTCTCTCAACCTTGGGAACTTTAGGATGTGGACCAACTCCCAGAATCCATGGCTGGCTAGGGAATTCTGGGAGTTGAAATCCACACATCTTAACATTCCCAAGGTTGAGAAACACCAGTCTAGTGGTTAAAGGCACTGGGCTAGAAACCAGGAGACCCTGAGTTCTAGTCCCGCCATGGGCATGAAGCCAGCTGGGTGACCTTGGGCCAGTCACCTCTCTCAGCCCTAGGAAGGAGGCAAGGGCAACCCACTTCTGAAAACCTTGCCAAGAAAACTGCAGGGACTAGTCAGTTGCCAGGAGTCAAGACTGACTAGGTTGGTTGGTTGGTTCCCTCCCTCCCACAACTGGTGATCTCTCTGTTTCTCCCAAACTCCCTACAGCTAAAGACACAGCAGACAGAGCGTGGTCTGCATGTGCAACACACCCTCTTACACCCAGCCAATGCAACAGCTTCCAACACAAAAATGCCTGAGAAAGACCAAGAAGGCCGCCCACCCATGCGTCTCCCACATCCATCCCTCACCGGTGAGGGCAGTGGCAAAGTGCCCCAGCGCCACGGAGTCCTCATATATGGTGCCCTGGAATCCACGCTCCATCTCCTGGTGAATGTAGTCCCTGGAACAGGCAGCAGAGAGCGAGGGGTTCCCCACAGCAGACGCCAGCAGAACGTTGCCTGAAGTGGTCCGTTTCCTAAAGCAGCCCATCGCGCCCCCCCTCCAGAAATGGAGGCCATGCACATTTCTGCTTCAGTTGCAGAACTCAGAACTTGCACCCATTCCTTTTTCACCCTGCCACTAGCAGAGAGAGAGGCAAACTGCGGGTGGTGGGAACTTTTTCGCACAGCGGCGCAGTTGCTAAAATCCACTCAAACTCCATGGCCTCAGGAAAGAAGGCACGGTCAAATGTTGCAAGCTCTCTCTTGGGTCATTTTTAATTTAATTTAATTTAATTAAAAAAAAAAGTCACTGCTACTGCTACTGCTGCTAATTTCCGACCTGCCCTAAGTACTCTTATTCTTGACAGCACGGATCCTACGCCTCAGTGTAAGACGAGGGTGCAGAATCCGTGTGGCAAAGAAACTGGCATTGGTTCCAGGTGCCCACTGGTTTCAGTTGGACACATTCCTCCCCCGCAACCCATTTTTCTTGAACTGGGGCTGGGATGGGGGACTTGTGTGGAATTAAAATTAACCTTAGTAACATTGAAAAAGGTTTTCTCAGGGATGAACCAGAGAGGGTCGAAGCGATGGACCCGCAAACTAATTTTTCCACCCCCTCATAGGATGTAGCCAAATGCACAAGAAAACACGTTGATATGGATTTTATGGATTTACAGGGTTTCACACATTTTTAAAAATACGCATAAATGCAAGTACTGTGCATTCCAAGATGTGGGAATTCAGCAGTGAGGAAAAGGCCTTTGGGGTGAGAGAGTGAAGACCCTTTGCTTTATCCTTGTCTAATCTGTAGCTCTCACCATCTTTTAAAAAAATTATTATTATTATTATTAAAAACCAATTATTGTATTTTCCTTGTTTTAGTTGCTGTGAGCTGCCCAGAGTCATTCATTGGGAGTTGGGCAGCATACATATTTGATAGATAGATAGATAGATAGATAGATAGATAGATAGATAGATAGATAGATAG